TTCATATATTCACATATTCATCATAACATCAGTTGTGTGCATCATGGTGATACATTATGGCCGAGGCCATTAAGAGTGAGCTAGAGTATATGTGCATGACACTTTTCCTGTCGCCATTGCCTGAAGCTTTTCGCCCCCAGAATACAATAATGACAATAATAAAGCTATACCACAGTAGCTGGGAGGAGACTATGGTGTGTGTGTCTCTGTGGGGGCAAGAAGGGGTGTGTGTTTGAGCGTGTGTTGTGGCGAGAGGCGGTAATGAGGACGACACTGGGGCAAAAATAAAGTGTACATGTGGTTGGGCTATCGGCAATGGTGTATATGCATATATTCATACATGTGATTGTATATGTCTCTGTGCATGTGTTCAAGGAAGCAGGGGTGCCTGTGCAAATGTGTCTCCTGTTGTCTATCAGTGTGTGCTGGTTCTGATCAGATGCTAGCTTTGGAAAGTTGTGATGGGCGTCAGTCTAATGCGAGGGGAAGGAAGGGCTTGGAGCGTAGACAGACACAGACGTGACCACTCACTGTAGTGTACTTGATTAGCACGTAGCCTCCTAATTAGCTATCTGGTTACAGGCAGTACCGCTGGTGACATGGCTAATAACACAACCACAAAATTAGCATGGACAGAGAGGGCTTTCCCATATTTGCATTTGAAATGAGTTATTGCTGGTGCATTTAGCTGGTGCAGAAGCTAAAAAACCTTTGACTATCTTATAATCTTACAATCTTAACAATGAACATTATAGTGCTGGTTGTATTAAAAAAATAAAGTTTAAGGCACTGTTCACTCACAAAACATAGCCTTTTGTGAGAGGTCTGGGATGTGAATTGAAGGATGCAGCTGCAGAAGAGGATCTGCGGCCTATGAAGCTAATCTTTAGTGGGTAACCTGGGAAGTCAAGGCAAGGGCACAAAGGAGGTGGATAAAGGGCAACCATTACACAGCTCCCTTTGGCCTAAGCTGGGGCCATTGAGTTCCTGGAGAGGTAGCCACCAGCATCTATGTGTGTGTCCTGACAGGCAGTGCTACATCTGCATTGATAGATTTTCTTACTGTGACACAGATGGCATCGGTAAATAAAGGTCCAGGAGTCAGGGGCTATTTCTAGGGCTTACTTTGGACTGGGGATGCTGTGTGCTGTACTGCCAAGAGCTGTGATGGTCAAGCCAGAGAGCTGTGGTCTGGAACTAGAAAAAAATTGGGCTATGTTAATGATGAGGCTTCAGGCTGTGTAGGGGGATGAAGCAAGACTGAGGGTGATGATTACAAGCAGGGCTAGGTAGTGTGGCAGAGGCTGGGTGAGAGGGCTGTGGCTGGGGTTTGAAAATAATTAGGAGCATGGCTGGATAACATAGCTAGATAACGTGGCTGGGGGGAGGCTGGCTGGGCACGGTATGAAGATGATGAGTACCAGGGTTGAGCTGTCCACTCCATTGGCCCTTTGAGCTGTGACAAGAAGCTCTGCTGGCTGCTGTTGTAGCTGGGGGTGATGCCAACGATAGGACTAATGCACTAATTACCACAGAGCGAGAGAAGAGAGAGAGAGTAAACAGAGGTAGAGAGAGATACAAAAAGACGGAGCTTCAGACAGAGAGACGAAAGGGGGGAAATCTGAGGTTATGAGTTCTGAGTGACAGCACGACTGGGCTGAGAGCAGGCACTGCTTTCTTCATCGTCTTCTTTAACAACATCCTTTAACAGCATCCTATGCAGCAGCAGCAGGAACAATGTTATCACAGAGAAAAGGGAGGTCAAGTTTAGCCAACGTGTATGTCTGGATGGTATTTATGTTTGTGTGTGTGGGTGTCTCCAATTACTTACTTACTAAACTACTACCACTAAATCTAACATAACTTACTGATATTGTGTTGTGCTTTTTGACCACTAGCGTTGATGTAGAGGAGTGTTTTTTCGAGTAATATTGTTTATAACTCAGACACTACCAACAACCACGTGCACACCAGCAGCGTGGAGGGATGGCATGATGACATAGAACGGTATATCAAAATATCAACTGATACAGAAATGTATAACATCTCATATCATCATAATCTCTAGCCACAAACCACACAGCTTTTTTGTTTATTATTGCAAATATGGTTTCGTGATGGCTGATGCCTTTACTTGCGGCCTGCAATGTCTTTTGGCATTAGCAGATGTCTATGTGTAGGGTTCCTAATTTGAATGGTGAGCTAAATGAACCCTTAGGACTTCACCTTTGCCAGTGAAAACCCAAATTTACCACATATGCTCAAACACAAAGACCCTACAAGCTTTCCATCAATACAGTATTTTACAAATACGGCATAGATGAACGGAGCAAAACTGATCTTACTCCCCTGGCCCCTGTTGTCAGCTGCAGGAGACCCCATTCACCCGCCCACTCACTCCCCATACTTATTTATCTCCACTTCCTGGGGCCGTGTTAGTTCATTCCCCTGTCGCTGCTCTCTCCTTCTTCCCTTGCTCCTCTCTCTCTCTTGTTTCCAGGCAATTGGGTCTGGGTGCTGGTGGTGGGGGGTAAGAGGTTGGGGTGGAGCTGCTGGGAACTTTGTGTGTGTGTGTGTGTGTGTGTGTGTGTGTGTGTGTGTGTGTGTGTGTGTGTGTGTGTGTGCTGGGAAGTGAGCTAATAAAGGACGGTGATCCATGAAAGGCCTTGAGCAAAGACACAGTCAATTACCTAATGCCTGGACCAGACCGCAGGGCCCACTCACACACATTCTGTCTCTAACAGACTCACACACACACACACACACACACCCATGCATACACCTCATTTACGTATACATGGAGAGGGGGCAGTGGAGGGCATAACTGGGAATTGTGTGCACGTGTGTGGGTGGGTGTGCATATGTGTGTGATGGAGAGCGGCGATTTATTAAATTGCTGTCACTTTTGACAAATTTGTGCAACGCAAGTTGAAAGTGTTAGGCTGCACTCCTTCTCTGTTTTTCCTCTTTTCTTTTAGAGGAGAACAATACATTTCAGACTGAAACCCAGGCAACCCCATCTGCCATCAGTTTGTATGAGTTGAGGAGTGTCATCTGACCTGGCTTCATGTCCAACCTTCAGACTTGGGTTTAATGTGAGTGACATTGATTGACTTTGATGTGAAAGCATGAACACAGGTTTCTGTAATAACTGTATGATAACTATTAAAATAAACATAATAATACAATAATAAAATTATTATAGGATTACTATGAACCTATAGCAAAGCCTACACGTTATTAGCCTTTTAACCATACATTTTGCTCTTCTCAATCTTTTGACTCTTGATTGTACAGTTTAGGTTGCTGAAATAATATAAGGTGAGCCATAAAGAAAAACACAGTCACCCACAATTTCACACAGAGTCATGTGGAATCACTAGCAAAAATATAACATAAACTCTTAAAATTAAGTGAAACACAATAACTCAGGTGAGGCATAAGTGTATACATGGTCTTGGTGAACAACGTATGTGACAGGAGTCTGAAATAAACGGCGCACATGCAGGTTTACCACATCTTCATTATCCTATGTAACACACAGCATGTACGTGAAAGTCGTTTAAGTGTGTGTTTTCCACTTTGATGGATTCTGTGTGTGTGGGGAGCAGCCAGAAAAGGGAGCATTCATCAGCTATGCATCTCTGCGCAGCACAATGGCTAGGTGGGTGTGTGGTTTCAAACGATGACTTAATTTAGGTACACAGTAGGCATACCTGATAACTAAATATATAATGATGATAATACTAACAATAATAATAGTGTTTGTAGTTTTCAACCTACCTTCTCTTTGAGTCAGTGTGTTATCTACTATCTGAAGCTCCTGGCGTAGGCTGGCTGTGCGAAAGAATCGTTGCTGTGGCTGAGATGGTGGAGCATTCGTCCTGTCCCTCTGCCTCTGGTTGGCAAATGGCAAGAAACAACAAAAAATTATACAGTATGTCATAACAGTTACAGCTGAGCTCAGGTTAGTCTTAACTAAAATATCAAACAGTGGCTAGGTTGAGCATGAATCCATAAGGCAGAAAATGTAGCAAACACAGAAACAACCCCAAACACACTCAGAAGACCCAGGGGAAAACTCATAACACAGATATGAAAGTTCCTTTCAAAATGTCTATTAAGTCATTTGATTGCAGTGCAACCAAAGAGCATAGACGGTTAGTGTGGCAAGAAAACTAGGTGGTCTTATACTGTAGTCAGTAGAGACAGATCAAACAGAGGGTTAATAACAGTACTTCACACACACACTCACACAACTGAGTAGATTAGCCTGTGAATGGTAATGGGGTTATAGTCAAGTGTTTTAGCAAAGACACATACACATACACATGCACGATTCCTAATTAAAACTAATACAAGGCTTTAAATAAAGCAGGGAGAGACTGTTTATAATAAACCCGGTCTGAAGCAGTCTTAAAATAATCTCCTGGCATACACCAATTTGTTTCCATAATAAGGATGTGTCGATTTGCTACAGTTGTTTGAGACTCTGTTGAGTGCATACAAGGTACATGTGTTCACAAGCATGTATTCTTTGGTGTGTATGAAAGGAAAACAATGACATAATTAAACAAAACATTTTACGAAACACTTTTTTCTGTGATTATATGAAAAAATGCTTTTGTATTTTGTATTTTGTGTGTGTGTATCTTTCTCACAGAGCGTCGCTGTGGAGTCTTATGGACCCGTGTTGTTGAAGCCGATTCTGGGCCTCTTCCAGGTGTGTGTAAGAGGTTTGGAGATGCAACGTCAGGTCAGGACAATGCATGCGCTGCTCCCACACTTCCCCAGGCTCTCTGAACACACCCTGGAATAGCCACAGCCACCAACAGACACAGACACACACAAACGCGCAAGAATCAGATAATGATCACTGTATCTTTCAGTTTCAGACCCCTGCCTCTTGCTTTCTCTGATCCCTCTCCCACAGGTAGTGATGGCTTACTGTTAAAACCAGAGGCCAATCCTCTTCATCTCTCCTCCTGTGACACAGAAACGATGAGAGAAGCCGAGAGAGACGGAGAGAGAGAGAGAGAGAGAGAGAGAGAGAGAGAGAGAGAGAGAGAGAGAGAGAGAGAGAGAGAGAGAGAGACACACACGAGACAAGAGAGTGAAGAAAATTGTATCAGGAGAGAGAATTAGAAGGGAGGAGTAAAACCAAGCATGCCAGAGTAAAAGTGAGGGACACAGAGAGGACAGAGAAAGAGTGAATAAGATGGAATAAAGAGAAGAAAAACATGCACACTCAGCTGCATGTCTAATGTATTGTCTGATTAACCTCAGAGACTCTTGTGATTTAATCAGGCTCTATCTTCCCCTACTCCCCATCATATCCTGTATTTTTCCACATTTAATGCTTTCTTTCCATTTATTTTTCTCTGATTCAGGTGCCCAAGCAAGCACCTCAATAAAAGAAAACAAAAGAAAATTTCATGACATCTAACTTTTTTTTTTAAAGACAACACGTGACAACAATGAAGGAATATGTCACCCACAACAGCATATCTTTTGTTTAATGTGTTTTTAACAGTTTTTGAAAAGGCGACACAGTTATATAATATATAGTTATATTATACACTTTATAAAAGTCAAGGAAAGCTGAGGATGCTGCATTTTCTAGCAATACAGACCTCCAATTTTCAAATTCATTCTTCTGATTATCTAGAGGCAAAATTAGCTTAATGGTTGATTAACATGTCATGTTACTTTACACATTATGCAAGATATATGGAAAACATTGTGTCAGTTACAAATACTAAACAAATATTCAAACTGTTATGTGTCTTGTGAAGAAGAATAAAGAGCAACCTCTAAACACGCACTGTGTTATATGCTCTTTTCTGAGTGTAGCATGTAAACTTTGTGCAGTGCAGATTAACTTAAATGCTGTTGCTTTGTTTGAGGTGACCTTCAGTTGTTGTTTGGTGTTAAAAAAAGGAGGGAGGATGAGAGGGGAGAGATAGAGGGAGGGACGGGGACCCTGTCCTTGCTCCTATCGCCACGGGATCGGTGGCCTGGCCTGACCACTTCCACAGCCAGCACCTCAACCTTATCCATCACCACTAGATAGTTATCACACCAGGGAGGGAGGGGGTGTGGGGTGAATGCAAAAGAAAGGGGGACTTCCTGCACTAATCACACGCACACGCACGCACACACACACACGCACAAAAAAAAACAGAGAAACACAGGGAGGCAGAGACAGAGAAAGACAGACGTGTATAAATATAGATAAATAATATATTCTTCTCCATGTCAGAACCAAGAGACTTTCCTGACACCATTAATGAACTCACCCTAACTACAGCCAGCTGGAGACAAGTCTGTGTGTGTGTCAAGTACAGCTAATAAAAGGAGACAGATCCACGGCTCATTTCTGCTCACTTATGTTTTACATTACTAGAAACTAATAATAGGGAAAGCACTTTGCCATAAGGAGCTACAGAGCGTAAATAACACAAATGGTGAAATGGCTCCTCATTAAATCCTCAACATACACACACATATATATGCATGCACACACTCACATAGGTACATAGACACATGCACAAAACACAGTCACAAATGCATAGGTGGACGCTATGCACCATTCATATATATTTTCGATATCAACACTCAATTATATATAAACATCTAAATTTGTCCTAGTAAGCCATGACTGTCTGACAGTGAGCCAGCATGCACAATACCTGGAACCTGAAAGTGAAGCAACTAAATGGAATACAGCCTTCATCAATTATATTATTTACACCTGTGCTTTTCCCACTGTAACATGTCAAAATGTCTTGCTTGGCTTATTTACGTCTCAGAGCCTGTCCACACAAATACGCGGCCTCAACCAATACGATGTTGTTTCGAAAAAAAGCCCCTCAGATATTTGGTTCTTTGAGGGACGTTCAACTCATTGCTTTGATTTTCCCAACAACTCATTGTTTTAAAAACAAACAAGAGAATGGCCGTATTCACCACTGATGTTTCTGAGGTCAGGACTTATGTATTTTTTCCGGGGATTTTACAATAAAAGTTGAAAAATAGTTGCCAAAAAATAACTTTACTTTAATGCTCTGATGCATGCCCTCAAATCCCACCGAGCAAGTAAAAACAAGCAAGTTTAAACAATACAATAAACCTTCAGTCCATGCTTTTATCAGCTCAAGACTGGACTACTGTAAAGCCCTTTACGTCGGCCTCAGTCAGTCCTCAATTTCTCGTCTCCAACTTGTGCAGAACGCTGCTGCCCGATTTTTAACTAGCACGTCCAGACGTGAACATATTACTCCTGTGCTGTCGTCACTCCACTGGCTTCCAGTCCGTTTTAGAATTGATTTTAAACTTTTGTTGTTTGTTTTTAACACCATTAACGGCTCGGCCCCCTCTTACTTGTCAGAGATTTTAACTTTTCGCAATTGTGGCAGAGCCTTGCGCTCTTCAGGTCAGCTTCTGTTAGAAGTCCCTAGGTCCAGACTTAAACAGTGGGGCGATCGTTCTTTTGCCGTCGCTGCTCCTAGACTGTGGAACAAACTGCCCCCTGACATTCGTACCACTACTGATCTCGGCCTTTTTAAATCGAAGCTTAAGACCCACTTTTTTAGATTAGCTTTTAATTCTGAATAGGACAGTACTGTCTCTTAGGTGTACTCTTTTTATCTGCTCCTTTCTGTGCATTTCTGGAAGGATTTTAATACCCTGCAGTGCTGCAGCACTTTAATTGTATTTGTATGTTATATATGTGTTATGTACTGTTTCATGGCTCTGTTGTAAAGCACTTTGGGTACCTTTCGGCTATTGTAAAGGGCTATACAAATAAACTTGATTTGATTTGATTTGATTCAGAACCAGAAATTCATGTTAAATATTAAAATTAGTTCTAGGTTTGGTCATATAGAAGACAAAATATGTGAATTCCACATTAAAGTAGATTCACAAATCTTAACACAGGGCTCTCCAGACTTACTTTTTGCATTGGTTGCACTGGTGCGCCTAACTTTTTTTTTTAGGTGCACCAGCACAAAATTTAGGTGCACCCAAATTTTTCACTGCGTTGCCTTTAACGCCATAAGGTCACCTTTTTATTGCTCTCCATAACTTCCATATAATGTGAATGATTTTAAAACAAGAATAAGGTGTAGAGAAATGCTTGTCTTTATCTGAAGCACAATTATATATAAAAAGAAAAATAAAGTGTTTAAAGTGCTTCACTGAGCAGAAATTGAACATTTCAAACTCAAACATTTCAAGTAAAATAATTATTAATGATAATAATAATGATTACTACTACCTGCCGCTGAAATGCAGCTGGGAGAGGGGCCACTTTCTCTACACACACTTGTCACGGCATATTGTGTGTTTTTTAGACATCTTATGTTTTTTTAAAGTTTTGATGCGAAACGTTGTTGACCCACTCACGAATGCACTATTTCTGGCCATATTCTGACCGCACACCTGACAGTACACACAGTGCATTGCGTTACGTCCTTTGTTGTACCTCAGCCAGGGAAATTGTTTCAGCCAGTCCTGTCTGAAGGAATATATTTTGGCCTTTTTAATTTGGGTCTCGGAGCCGGGCTCTATCCCAGATTCGGTTGTCTCCTCTGGTTCCGAGTCTGATGCTGTCGCCGAAGGACCGGGGTTTGGCATCTCACCAGGGACCGAGGGCTCCGTGTCTTGACGGGATGGACTCTCAGTAGTGGGGATGGATGGGATTATAGTAGTAGTAGGTTGTAGGCTTGGTTTTCTTAATGAAAAAACGTTCAATATTTCTGCCTCTCTTCATTTTCCCTCGTTTTGTCGCGTTTATTTTATTTTTCCTTTTCAGTTAATCAGCTACTCTCGCGCTCAGGTCGCGCGCAATTTTTAAACAACTTAGTGCTGTGAACAGGACCACAGCCAATCAGAGGCAAAGACCCACCCGAGCTCTGTCTCTTATTGGTTTAGAACACGATATAATCCTACCATGAATGTGTGAGTTCGGTCACCGGAGAACACAGAGAGATGGTGCGCTTGTGAAATAAACTGTGTTATGTTTTCACCCGGGCAGCGTCAGGTGCACCGGTGCGACCTAGAAAAATTATTAGTCGCACTCTTAAAAATTTTGGTCGCATGTGAGCCCTGTAACAACACAAATTATACTGGGTGGATAAGCCACAGTGAATTGGTAAGGAACACAAATGAGAGATGCACATGGAATCCAATTTTGATATACTCACACACTGTGGTACAGAAACATTTCACAGTCACACGTGTAGTAGTCACATACATAGTACTCACTAAAAAACAGACACTAAACGGCTCTGGGCAGTAGCCCCCAAGAGAGCTGTCTGCCATGTTTTAATGATGTCATTCTTCTTTAAAATGAGTTTTAAAGGATCTCCGCTTTCATCAAGAACCATCTCCAATGGGACAAGAAGGGGATGTTGGGGGGCTCTAATAATTGGTATGACACAAACTGATACTCTCACTTTTTGTGCATGCTCTATTGCTTTCTTTTTTCCTCATTCTTCCCCTTTGTAGTCTTTGTCTCTTTACATAGTCTCTTTTATATGGTTGCACTCTGTTTTTTTTGTCTCCACCTGTTTATGTCTGTCCCAGCTTTTACCATCTTACCTGCTGTTTTTTGCTACCAATGGGGGGCAGTATGGGCCTGGAGGAGCAGCGGGTTTGAGTGGTTTTGATCCATGGGGATCCAAGAGTCCCAGAGAAACTGGGGGCTGCTGGGCCAGGCATACCCAAGAGACAAGCCCTGCCCCCGGGAGCCAGTCTGGTGGGGGCCTGGTACTTGACCTGCCTCAGCAGTTGTTCCATCTCATGGGGGGCTGACCTGAATGGAGAGTTGAACACCCCTGGGCACTGAAGAGAGAGAGAGAGAGAGAGAGAGAGAGAGAGAGAGAGAGAGAGAGAGAGAGAGAGATAGAGAGAGGTGTTAACCCTATATCATAGAGAAAGTGAGAGATTGAGAGAGGCAATGTCAGTATGAGCAATAACATATGATTAGATGCATATGTGTATTTCTGACTGGCTTGAAAATATCAGGCAAAAGATAGAGAGGGTTGAGAGAATGACGTTGCAGTTGGATTGTTGTTAGTTATTATTTCACGGATAGAAGTCTTCCTGGGTGTTTTACTGCCCAAACACATTCATGTATTAAAACCCATTTGGAGTTTGGGAAACCAAAAAGTGATTTGTTTTTATCAGGGGGACAGTCAGAATGGCGACCTCCTGGGACAGCTTAAAATGAACTGTTAGTCATTTAAACTATTAAAGGCAATATTCTGAGGTAATTTGAAACATCAGTTTTGTTAACAACTTTTTGTATACAGTTTTTCAAACTTTTGCTGTTTATTTCATATTAACCTTATTAACCTAAACTTTCTGTGTCCCTGCTGACAACAGTTCTTGATCTTCACTGCCTCAAACACATACACCATGGCTCCTGGCCAACCAAAGGCTTTGCCAGGTTAAGAATTTGGCTGGGACAGTTCAGTTTATGCATTTTACACAGATAGATAGAACAAAAAAATGACTACAGGGACAACCAAGCTGCATCTGTCTCACATGGCATTACACAGAACTGAATCTCAATCTCCACTAGAACAACACACACTCAAGTACTCACATACAAAACTTTGCCTCCCCTGTTCTGAAGTGGGTTAGAGATTTTCTACAGACGGCCTCAGTAATAATTATTCAAATCACAGTGATCCTTTTGCCTGTGTGTTAATTACCAGACCAAAGCTTTGAGTTGGAGGACTCTGTATCTACTCTATATGCTAATAACACCGCTTGCTATTTAGGCCACTCTAAAAGACTGGGACAACGGAGAAAGAGGAGAGAGAAAGGGCATAAGTGGGGAATTGCTACAACTATTTCAACTCAAACCTCACTCTTTTTAAAATAATATATTAACAGACTGGTTAATTAGTAAGTGTTTCATTATTAGACTATGAGTACTTTTGATGTAAATGTCAAATGTTTCAGAATGAGCAGAGAGATATTAATTCAACTTCACTGACCCTGATTTCTGTAACCACAGGTTGTAGTAACTGGAAAACAGCATATTTTAAACTGATGGGTCCCTATCTTTGTGCGTTTTTTTTTGTGCCAGCACAGAGCTGACAGTGGGGCTAATGCAATTCTAATGTGATTAAGCCAGAATCACAACTGGTTTAGTTTAATGGGTGTTTCTTTCCAATAATGCCTTCCACTGCAACTTGCACAATGTATAAGGTAATTTCCTTACAGGTTATAAAAGAGAAGGACCTTAGCATCATACACCAGCAAGAAGAAAAAGTTATCAGTTTATGTGATCATGTAAGCGGCCAGACCATCACTGTTCAATATTTGCAGTTGCAGCATTATTGTGCACATGTATACCCAAATCTAAAATAAATATTGGCAACAGACAATAGGCATTAATAAAAACAACGAGGTACATTCTACAACAGTTAACTGCTTAATTTATTTGCCTTCTTGTCTTCTAAAATAACTTTAAACTAAGTGTTTACTCAAGCATAAATTCAACTCCAAAATTGAACATTGTATGTCCTTGAAAGAATATTTTGGGTGGTGTATATTTGTGCCTCGCCATTCTGTGCCTCAAGAGAACCATTACTGAAGCATGCACCAACTCCACATGCTGATACTGTATTCCTCCTGTGAATTTTATTACTGCACTACAGCAGGACTGCATTTGTTCCTTTGTAATCACACCCTGCTTTAAGAACTTCTAATAAAGTGTCCCAATCCAACAAAACAGCAAACAAATGTTTTTATACTAGACCATATGTACTTGACTATAATTAAGTATAACAGAGTGAGTTTACTGAAAAAAATGTGCCCCCAAAACTGTATACAACAGACTACACAGCAACATCTTCAGACATGTCTGGCACTCTAAATACAGTATAAGAAACACTAACACAAAATGCTCATTATCAGGATTTTTTGTGTATTTAATGACATTTTATTAGAGTTCAGCATCGGTCTATAAAATTCATTAGGGATGAGTGTACAGACCTAACTCAAACAGGAAGGGACAGAAGACTAGGGACATACACACCACACCAATACATTCACACACATAATCCTCGCCAATCCTAAAGACACGCACACACAAATACACACACGCGCACATGCAAGCCCAAAAGTACCAACCTAGCTATGGGAAGAGCAATGATGTTGACCCCAGAAACACACCATCTCTGTCTCTGTCATAGGGACTTGGGGCCTTTTGGTAAGCTGTGTGTGTGAGTAGGTGTGTGAGTGTGTGTGTGTATACGTGTGTGTGTGTGAGAGAGAGAAAGAGAGATAGAGAGAGAGTGAGTGTGTGTGTCTGTGTGTGTGTGTGTGTGTGTGTGTGTGTGTGTGTGTGTGGGCTGGGGTCCGAGAAGTGAGGAAGGATGAACTGTGTGGGAGAGCCATCTATTCACTGCTGACAAGGTCAGAGCTACGAGGGGAAAGAGTCCCCTGCCATATGCAGAGAAAGAGAGAGAGAGAGAGAGAGAGAGATAGAGAGAAAGAGATGGACAGAGGGCGGGGAAGAGCACACAAACTTTTCTTCTAGCTTTCTTTCCTTCTTGCTTATTCCTAAAATATCCAATATAGTTATACATAAAATGATTAAAACAATGAACATATGGGTATACAGCCAATCTAGAGCATTTGGAGAGTCAAACGCGGACATGTCTGAAAAAAAGCCAATCCTGCTGCCCTCCAGCTTACACCACCATCATAACAAAATGTTTGGAAGTTGCGATCATGTGAGTGTCTTATGCGTATGTGGGATTCCTGCAGGAAGTAGGTAGTAAGCCAGATGATGACAATGCTGGCTGCACGGGCATGAAGGAGAGAGAGAGTAAGAGAGAGAGAGGAGTGCTGGTGCTGAATCAACAGTGACCAGTGCGCTTTGTCTTCATTATGATCCCAGTGGGGAGTCACAGAGATGCATAGATGCCACACACACACACATACATACATGCTCACCTGTGCCAGGGGAAGCACTAAAATACTCCACTCAGCACATCAGAAGAGCCATGAGGACACACACTTACTCATGTGCCCACGCACACGCACACACGCACACACACACACACACACATACACACACACACACACACACACACACACACACACACACACACACACACACACACACACACACACACACACACCATCTCCATACACCCCACCTGTGTTAACGTGAATACTCTCTGTAGCATTGTTTTTGGAGTAACTCCCTATCTGTGACTCTTATCTCATTGACTGCATGGGTCCCTGCATCTTTAGCCGTGCATGCGGGTATTAGTGTGTGCGCTTACTTTCTCAGTACAAAGTTACTCATGAGTCGGTGATGTTGTCTCAGTATTCTGTAGGACATATATTTCAGACAGACACAGTGAGACCAAACAACCACCACCTCCCTGTAGGAGTAAAAGGGTTAACTGTGTTATCTCATGTGGGATTATGAAGTGAGTATGGGTTTCTAATTAGAGTCCAATATTAATACCTATAATAACAATTATTGATATTATTACTACTATATTGGAATTGTTACATAATTATCAATTATAATTAATAATATTATAACAAACTATTATAGATCTTGATGCCGAGTCTAAGAATCAAATTTAACCAACCATAAATCGTGCTCTTTTCAAACATTTCTGTCGCAGGGATACTGTACATGTAGGTTGTTGTATTAACTTTTCATATGTGATTTTTCCTGAACAGCAATGGGATTAACCAAATATTCTATAATTGCATTATTAATTTGAAGTGACGTTTTTCATAAAATTAAAATTTTTGTAAAAACAAATATATACAGTTCAAGCAGAAGAATGATGTAATTTCCACCAATGAGTTTAAAGGACTAAAGGATCAGCTGATGATGACTCCTTCATATGACAGACCACATTCACCCCATTGATATCACTACTGGTAACTGCTTTTCACTGGCAGTGGTTGCTGCCACACTGCAAGCTTTGACACTCTGTCCTACATGTGATGATGGTGCTGATTTCTGTTACAGCTTGAGGTTTGTTTTATACATGATCAATATGATACTGTTTTCTGATTGAACATAAAAGTAAATTTGAATAGAGAGATCAAGTCAAATGAGTTTAACTGATGTCAAAACTGTGAGACTGTGTGAGCGTTTGTGTTGCTGTAGACCTACCTGCTTCGTACTGAGAAGGTGGTGTAACCGGTAAGCTTGGTAGACCTTAGCTGTCTGCTCTTTCACCATCTCCAGACAGTCTCTCTCTCTCTTTTGGAGTTCCTCCAGTTCATCCAGCTCCCTCCTAAAGGGCACACACACTCAAATAGTTTAACTTTAAGAGAAATAATTGAGTTTCAATCATCATTTTACACTTTTCTTTACACATCTTGGCTGTTATTTCATGGCATCATACGTAGTCAGATCAATCTAAATCAGGTATGTTTGCTGAATGACAATGACAGACTGCATACTGATTCTACATTTTTATGTAATTTACCTCTACATCACTTGCTGTAACAATCATATGAGACTAATGTTTTAATGCTACCTTTTCCAGACTAATGAACCTGTTACATTATAATTACATATAGTTAATTATCTGGAGATTCACTTGACCTTATAGCTTAACATTATTTAAAAGTCGTGTCTTGTGACTTGTGTATGTAATGTAAACTTCATAAAACTACATTTGTGCAACTGTGTATTTGGACCACATTTGGTCTCCTGTCGTAAAAAAGCCGCCAGTTCCCTGAAGTGTCCTTCAGATGAATAAAAACCTGCCTAATGATAAGAGAGAGACTGGGACCGACATGGAAAGGCAGAGGCGCTGTGGGAGAAAAAACAAGAGAATGAGACTGCTTGGACTGAAAAAAGAAAAGTGAGAGCGCAAGAGCCTATAAGTGGGAGGATGATGGATATATTTCATCACCGCAGTCAGGACAGGTCTGTCTGTGACATCTGTTAAGCGAAGCTGGCTAAATGGGATGCATTAAAAGCCCATACACAGCAATTTCATTCCGCAATCACACAGCCTTATTGTTACAAGGAGGTAATAACTTAAAAATGGAATTGGAAACAATTACTAAAACACACATGCCATGGTAATGTGAAAATACACACACTATGAGTAAAGCCGCAGCTCATCGACAATCCTTCATTTCTTTTCTCTTTTCCTTTTCCTCTTTATTTCTCTCCTTCTTCTCTACTGCACAACTTCTGTTTTCAATTACAAGCCTCCACAGACGAATCAGAATATTCATAGTGTGTCTGTAATGTGAGGTTAACACATTCTGCAGCTACTGACATTTAAAAAGAAATCACAACACCGTCCCCGTTGCCTTTGCATTCTCATTCCTTCCTCAGCACCAGATTAAATTACAAAATAAATGAAATATGCAGAGCACTTTGTGTGTATGTGTGTGATTGTGAGTGTGTGTGTCTGTGTGGTGAGAATGAGAGCAACTTTAAATGTGTCTGTGTGTGTTTATGTAATATTAAGCACAGTAATTTAAGACGTATATGGATGTGAGGCTGGATGTCTATATGTGCTTGTGTGTATGTAAATATAGAGGTTGCTTGGCCTCTATTTATCCACCTAGCTAACGGGGATATTACATATTAATGTAAAATATAAAGTTTTGATTTATTGTGGGACCATCTGGTTCACAAACCATTTGCCACATGTGTGTGTTATGTGTGTATTTCTGTTCATTTGTGTATTAATACCGCCTTAAAAATTGACTGACAATGTTTTCAGGGTCAGGACCTGTTCTCATATGTCTGTGTGTGTCTGAGCTGCGAGTGTTTAAGTGTGACTATATCAGTGTGTGTGTGTATCAGTAATATGTATGTTCGTATCAATGTTCATACTATGTATTCACACTAGCTTGTGTGTCCATTTGTGTGTATGTGTGGGAAAGTGTGCGTGTGTGTGTATGTCAGGTTGAATGGGTGACCTTTGCTTCCCTGCCCCCAGCCCCAGTGTTATTAATTGCTGTGTAGTGGACAAAAGCCAAACAGATTTGTAACGGCTGAAGGCACCTCGATCTGTGTCGACCCAACCAGCCGCCACAACATACAACCCTCATTAGCCCTGTTCGGCACACTGCACGTGCCCTGTGTGTTTGTGTGTGTGTGTGTGCGTTTGACTGAGTGGAAGTGAAAGGCAAGAAACAGTGTGATAAAACACCAGCTTGTAATCCTGTTATACGTATTGCTGTTATATCTGGTTTATTAACCTATACACTGATGCCATAGTAGGAACCATCTTGGTTGATTTACCTTGACTTCTGCGTATGAAATAGGTCTGTCCCCTAATAGTGGACTAAACTGTTAGTCGGTGAGATGAGTCTTAGTCGACGCACTTTTCATTAGTCGTAGAGAAACTTAAAGAATGTTAAACTCAGTTTGGGAGCTGTGCCTTGTCACCAGGACCCGCTATCACAGGAGCAGAGTCGGAATGAGCACCATAGCCAGAGCAGAAAATGAATCCAGGTTCAGTAGTATCTCAGTGACCACAGCCAGGACCGAACACAGCCTCCGACACCATAATGCCAAGTGATTTTCAACAGCTCCGACCAGGACTAGGGACGGCAGGATCGGGATAATGTCATAATCCATCATATCAATTAGTCTGTGAGTATTAGTTTTAGAGAAGTTGGGAGTTATTTGTTCTATGTTTTGAACAACGAGACTTTCGTGTTTAAATAAATTAACTAAATGTTCAATCTCTTTACTGGTTGTTCTGACACATTTGGATTCATTACCACTTTTTTCTGTTATCATTTAACATTTGTTTACATTATATATATTTAAATAATTAAATTAATATCATAAATGTTCTACGACTAATCAACTATTGACTAGTCGACAAGGAAAATCTTTTTTAATATGAAAGAAATCATATAGGCACAAAAAAATTGACTCTTGATTTAGGCCATTGCAGCATTCACTTATTATGGAAAAATCTGTTCTAGCTGAACAATACACTGAAAAGGTGCTGAAAAGTGTTAAAAGATTTTATTGATAATTGTAAATGGGCAATGGTGTCCTGAGGGTTAGAGAAGCGAGCTTGTGACTGGAAGGCCACCACTGAGGTGCCCTTGAGCAAGGCCCTTAACCCCAACCGCTGTGATTGTACTGGGCAGGTATGAACGTGTAACAATGTGAATGTGATCAGAGCGTTCCTGCAAAGAGTCTGTCCGTACCTTTCCAATGGGTACACTGTACCAGGCCTTAAAGGTAAATTTTTGTCACCTGGGGTAAAAAAAAATATTTTAGACGTACAGAAGAAAGTACAAAAATGTACCATGTTCAAAGGTACAGTGCTTGTACCCTGGTAGGGTACAGCTAGAGTGACAACCCATTTGTACCCTTTTAGGTCCATTCCTGTACTTTCCACTACAACTTTTTCATTCAAGATTTTACCTGCCAGCAATTATATACAGAGAATACAGACTCAAGACAAAATGACATACTGATTGACTATATTGGTAGTAATACAGACAATGATGATTGTTCCTGAGTGAGAGGGCTGGAAAATGTAAATGTGAATCTATGTATATAATCACTGGAAACTGTTCATTGAAACTATTGTTTAAGCTCATTATTATTTTATTAGTATTACTACAAATTTGCTGTAATTGCATTATTATGTCAGTATATTCCATTATACATTCAAATGTTTTTTATACAGTTTCATTGTGCCAGAAATTTGTCATTTGATATATACATTAAAGTAATAGTTATTTTTGCACAATATATTATATAGTATTATTCCATATATACCATTATAATGATTACTGGATGCTTACAATGTGCTTAGTATGCCATATACCGCAGTGTGAGCACTGACTACAGATTACTTTTGATGGCTGCTGAACTGTTGGACAAGTTAATCAAGCACACTTGAACTACTTTCAAATACTCAAAATTCTAACTGACATTTTCACCCCGGACTGTTAACTTATTTAAATGGCTAATATAGTACAGCTAAA